TTTAGGGAAGGACAGAGAGAAACCTCATCAGGGTAATAACCTTTATTTAACAACTGTGGTGTTATTCTATTTATAGTTTTGACCATAATTTATTTGACTCATGAAAACATTCCATTGTCCTCATCAGATAGTTTCAGATAATAAGAAATAACAGGGAGTAAATCCCAGCTCTTTGATTTGATTTCTTTGCAGGAGCCTTTTTTAAGTTAAAAAGTTACCTTTTCTCCACCACTGATGGATATAGATGGATCGTATGGATGTAAATGGTACTTTTTTATCGCTTGGAGTGAATTATGGAGAAAATATATGCGTGAATGTGCTGATTTCTGATGTCGGGTTGTATATCCAGAGAAAACTCCATACCCAACATAAAATGTAACTATCCATTCCCTGTGTGACTGGGCACTGGCACTCACCGTGATGGACCACGCCCTTCAGGCCATGGATTATGGGGTCGACAGCAGGATTGTCCTTCCCTCCAACCTGAGGAACACAAAAAGATCTGCTGTAAAATACAGTGATCATCACATAGAAGTATACAGATTAACTATATTAGTTAGTACAGGCTCTCAGTCCAGCTGAGAGACCAAACTGGTATCAACACTCCATCAAACCCCCTGTAAGACAACCAACAAGCCACTGACATGTAAGTGGCTCATCCCCTAACCAAAGGCTTCGTGGTTCAATCCCTGGCTCCTCTATTTTGCACTCCACAGTGTCCTTGGGCCAGACACTGAAGCCCAAATTGCTCCTGATGGCTGTGCTAACAGATTGTGATTGATCTGCAAACTGAAAGTGCTGCACAGAGATGCACTTTATGAATGTGAGTGTGAATGGGGGAATGTCCAAACTCTTCTGTCAACTGCTAGACTAGACAAGATATATACATATAAAAACCATATACAAAAAAAAAAAATCACATTACCGGCCAATGGTTGTTTACTTCAATACAGTTTATACCTGCTGTTGCTGAGTCACTGCAGGAATAAAGAGTGCACTAATCTAAGTTTATACAATGCACACATCTATTCATAATGATTGTAAAGTACCCTATATTATGTGTTTTAATTCACCTGTGGAAAGAGAGAGAAAATAGCACATTCATGCTCAATAAAGAGAAGGAGAGGGGGCGATAAAAGTGACATGGGTGGAGGAAAAAAGTCAAAAAGCACAGCAGAGATCCTGAGAAACCAAGTGCAGCGTAATTAGGAGAAACAATCAGCAGCAATCAACAAGGCCCTCTCCATGTGAACTCAAAGAGGGAGCGATGTCATAGTAACACATGCATTTCCGCTGTCTTCAATTAGAGCATCATTGTTGTCATGGAAGCTGGAAATCAATAAAAAAAAAAAACAAAGCACACAAAAAGGCTAAACACAAGTGCCTTCCAAAATGACTCATCAGTCAGTCTGATCAGCGCCCTCTTTGGTTACATGTTTGCTTCAAAATGCAGAGAAAAAAAACAACCTGTTTTGTTGCATGCGTGTGATGTTGACATGTCTGTAGAAAGAAATCCATTAGACTGCAAAAAGGTGGACTGCTCTCATGGACATGCGTTACACATTTTACATGACAATGGTTTGCATTCAAATGCATTGAAGAGACATTTGCATGGAAAGCCTTTAGAAATGTTGAATGACATGCTGTTCAAATGCCAGAGAATCACTGTCATTACACATATTGTACGATGACAAGCAAGATGGGTAGTTTATATGGACAGCAGGGCACAGTTCTCTTCTCCACTTGCTTCTTACATGTTTAACACTAACAAAAAATATGTGGAGAGCACAAGTGCATCAGATTTTCAGTCTGTGATTGGCTCCCACTATGGCCGTCCAAAAATTGTCTGTCCACATTAGTGTTTTGGCTCCTTGTTAGTTTTAATCCCCATCCATACCAACACGCCTGACAACACATACCACGTGACTGCTCATGTACACAGGCGTCCAGTTTCCAGCATAAACAAGAAGACATGCCGGTGAACTGGCACTGCTCATATAAAAGCGCGTCTCCACGCATGTTAGCAGTTTAATCATTGCAAAATGCAGAATTTAACTGCACAACAGCTTTAAGGGTCAGTAACACTTGTAATTGATTACATGTTGCGTTACACACTGGGAGCCGAGGCTTGCTTTCCTCCGTACAAATCAGCATATGCTACATGGTCACTAAAAAGACCCGATCAGCAAGCATCTATGTCACTGTGTCCAAACATCTGTTTCTGCCCATCCAGACTAAAACGTACGCCAGGCGTATCCACAGCACTGTGGATACACATACAGTATATTCACTACAAATATACTATAGTTATTGCAAATACTGCTACATCTTGTGACCCTGACAGATACAACAATTACTACTAATAATAATCATCACTGTCATATCACCATTGTCACTATAAAAATAAATAGAAATAAATAGATTTAATTTAATTAAAATGCAGCATTTTTTAAAATGTAACCTTTTTAGGTCAAATATCGGAGCCACTACCTGTATCCATATCCAGCAGCAAAGAGCCAAGACTGTCATCCCATCCCTCCCTCGCCTGTCTCTCCACAACCTCGCGTGTCCTGGATTTGGACACAGGCGCTTCACCTCGGGATTTAACAAACCCGCACGCAAAGTGCATTTGGATTCTGAAAAACCACACTTGTTGGATAGGATTTCATTTTCAAGTTTGGTGTAAAGGATTACTGGGATTGTCCTCACACTGCCTGGCTGCTTAAACCACAGCAGAAGCACATAAAACACAGCCTGCTCAATTTCTGTGCTTTCATCAACCACATGAAAACATCCTATTGTAAGGCAAGCCATTTTTGTGGATGATTTGTCCAACAATTGTATACAATTATCTTAAGTGGGAATTATATAAACAAAACACCCATGGGTTTACTCACAAGGGTGGTGAATGATCATGTGACACACCACTGCTTTAATTCCAAACTGTTCCTGCTGCTCACCGACGTGTTGGGATGTCCAGGTAGAGGTGCACTGTGTCCTTAATTGGGCAACAGCTTTTTGGGTTTGAGCAACAGGTGTTATCCAAACATAACCTAAGAGCAGGCCTACTATCTCTTTCATAACAGATTCAACACAGTCAGCCATTGGCTTGTTTATGATTGCACATTCACTCATGGTGACTGCGAAATCCAAAAATGCCCAAAAGCTGTTTAAGCTGCAGAATGTCACCATGTGATGGCCCATTAGACTTTTTTCCATATAATCAATGGATCTGCTGTGACCCAAGTTTGGTTTGATGATCCCACGACCTACTAGGGTTATCCAGGTAGTCTGTGTTACCAGTGTTACACAGTGTTCAGGCACATACTAATTATATGCCTTGCACACAAGGCCACAGCATCATTTTTTTATAGACATAATACTTTTTTGGTTCATTTTTGTGTATCAGAAGTACTGCCCACGTTACTAGTAACGATACTTAAGACTTTCTGCATCACCCACGCACTGCTCACACATCCAGTGCAGCCAAGCTGTTAATCTGACACTGTAGTTATGAAGTGGAAGTGTTTGCTCTGCACAGCAGCAGAGCCACATCACGGAGGATGGTGAGGATTTTGTGTTAAAGGATCATTAAAACATTGGTTATGTTGAGTATCTACTGTCTCTGTGAATTTAAGATATAGTGCAGCTCAGGTTACACTTTTCTGTCTGAACGATCCTGAAAGAAAATCCAACAGGTATTCTGTTTTTTGTGTGCAATCCTGACCTGAGCCCGATGCAGTTGTGTTATGCTTTGTTCACACCAAACACAAAGCGGATTTATGGCTTGCATGTGTTTGGATGCAGAATAATTTGTGTTCAGGTGCATACCTCTGCCAAGGTCAAACAGTCCCCCTTCAAGTCGCACCAAATTGTACAGACTCATAGATATCAGTTCCATAAATATGCCTGAGGTTTTTCATCAAGACCCATACATTTCATTTGGGAAAATAGAGAAAATGTCTAACAAAACAGCTCTATCTAGAAATGTAAAAGAAAGTGATGAAATCCCTGGATCCACCCCTTGATTTAGTTTTTATTCATTTAATGGGTTATTCCTTGAACAATATCCCAAACAACAACCTCCTTAGCAAAAGTAATAAAAAACAGCTTTTTCAAACATAGAATATGTGCTTGGATGCCTTATCAGATAATAATAAGGGGTTATCTTAAGCCTGCTTGCAACTTAATCATATGACAATATGCAAATGGGTTCAGCAGAGTTGGCAGACTTGTCAACAACTGTGGTGCATCCCAGGTAAAGGGAAGTAATGCAGCAAACTCTACAGGGACTGCAACAAAGTTAGACCGGGGAACAGCAAGAGGCATCTGTAGGTAACTGCCTTCTTAACTACGCTGTTAGAGTGAGCTGCAGTAACACTAAAGTCAGATACCTGACGTTTTCTTATTTTTACTTTGCAGCTGGAGGGTTGCTCTCTTCCCTCAGAAGCCTTCTTGCCGACCCACGACTAGCTATAGTGAAATGCGCTCTGCATTACCATGCAATTTAACTCAGATAAGTGACATCAACAAAACTAGGATCATATGGAAATAGACTCTTTGTCTGAGGCTGTCTGTGGAAGCTATGACACCAAGGGCTGGTGGAATCTAAACAGTGACACATGTCGAAAAAGCTGAAGGACTGTGTAACAAATGAGGAGCACGAGCAAGGAGGTATTCCATTGTCTCTGTGTGATTACCCACATAGACAACATGGGCTTGCACAGGCAAAACCCAGAATTAATTAAATAACTAAAACTTAGTTTCAGCAATGTTAGACACAGTTTTAACTTAGCAGAAGTCCATAACTGGAAGTGAAATAAGGAGCTTGTTTTTGGTGCGAGGCAAGACAGAAATTGGGTGAGGAAAAAAGCGTGTGTGTGTGTGTGTGTGTTAGTGAAAAGAGATTAAGAGAAATAAAGGCGGCCATGGAGACAGAGAAAATGACAGACAGGGAGGAGGAGAGAAAGAAAGGAGGACAGAGGGAATTAGCGTTTCATTATTAATGTTTGTCTCTGAAAGCCCACAGGCTTGTCCCCCGAGATCCTGAGCCACCAGGCCTCACTTCACAATGTCCTACTCTCTCTCTATCTACGCCTTTCTCCCTCTTTAAATCCTGCATCTTTCGTTCTGTCTCTTCATCCATTCCCATAGCTCAAGCTCCCTCTTTCTCTCCAGGGACAGAGCACCGCAGTGACAAATCAGGAAAAAAAACACTGTACAATGTGACATGTCCTCATATTTCTCTCCTTCACCATTTTTCTCTCTCATAGCCCAACCCTTTCTTCCACCGTCATCCATCCAAGGTCCCTCACAATGTATCCTCTTTCTCTTGACTAGCTTCACCTCCTTCTGTGTCATACAGAGACTCATTTCCTCCCCTTGGCACTGGCCGAACTAACTGCTGATGAATCAGTGGCATAATAGATGTGATGGTTCTTTCAAACAAGACACATTGGAGTGCAGTTACTATCAGTGAAAAA